TGAACTTCATTATACATGTTTATACAATGTTTTTGAACATTTCTGTGCTGCAACTCAGTGCCTCAGTTTTTATTGTACATGTTTATATATTTTTAACTTGCCTTTCATTTTAGTCATGTTTACATACACACTATATATGACATTTTAGTTATTTAGAGGAACTAGGGTGATATATATGGGGGTATTTATTACACCTTAGTAGAATAAGTCCAAGTAATATGTGTTGCAATTATGAACTTGCCTTTCATTTGAGTTTTTATTGTACATGTTTATACAATGTTTTAGAACAATCCTGTGCTGCAACTCAGTGCCTTAGTTTTTATTGTACATGTTTATATATTGTTAACTTGCCTTTCATTTTAGTCATGTTTACGTACACACTGTATGTGACATTTCAGTTGTTTCTTTTTAACTTGCCGATTATTTAGAGGAACTAGGGTGATATATATGTGGGTATTTATTACATCTTAGTAGAATAAGTCCAAGTAATATGTGTTGCAATTACGAACTTGCCTTTCATTTTAGTTTGTAGTGTACATGTTTATGTGATATATTTTTTTACTTGCCTTTTATTTTAGTTTTTAGCATATGTACATGCATACAACTTTTGATATAAACCAAATACATCCTGCCACTTTCATTCAATTCATTTTTTTAATAAGCATCATGTGTGTATTGTAAGTTAACATTTAAGTTAAGATTTCTCAAAAATTCAATATATTATAGTCACCATTCTGTGTACTATAGAACGCACTACAGCCACCATTCTGCTAACCATAGATCAAGATCCAAACTACCATTCTGAATATACCATTTCAAAATGCTACAATTAAGCGTAACATTTTGTTGCGTATTTTGAATGGTAGTGAATGGTAGATGAATGGTGGCTCTATGGTAGATGAATGGTGGCTCTATGGTAGATGAATGGTGGCTCTATGGTAGATAAATGGTGGCTCTATGGTAGATGAATGGTGACTCTATGGTAGATGAATGGTGGCTCTATGGTAGATGAATGGTGGCTCTATGGTAGATGAATGGTGGCTCTATGGTAGATGAATGGTGGCTCTATGGTAGATGAGTGGTGGCTCTATGGTAGATGAATGGTGGCTCTATGGTAGATGAGTGGTGACTCTATGGTAGATGAATGGTGGCTCTATGGTAGATGAGTGGTGACTCTATGGTAGATGAATGGTGGCTCTATGGTAGATGAGTGGTGACTCTATGGTAGATGAATGGTGGCTCTATGGTAGATGAATGGTGGCTCTATGGTAGATGAATGGTGGCTCTATGGTAGATGAAGGGTGGCTCTATGGTAGATGAATGGTGCCTTTATGGTAGATGAATGGTGGCTCTATGGTAGATGAATGGTGGCTTTATGGTAGATGAATGGTGGCTCTATGGTAGATGAATGATGGCTATATGGTAGATGAATGGTGGCTCTATGGTAGATGAATGGTGGCTCTATGGTAGATGAAGGGTGGCTCTATGGTAGATGAATGGTGCCTTTATGGTAGATGAATGGTGGCTCTATGGTAGATGAATGGTGGCTTTATGGTAGATGAATGGTGGCTCTATGGTAGATGAATGATGGCTATATGGTAGATGAATGGTGGCTCTATGGTAGATGAATGGTGGCTCTGTGGTAGATGAATGGTGGTTCTATGGTAGATGAATGGTGGCTCTATGGTAGATGAATGATGGCTCTATGGTAAATGAATGATGACTCTATGGTGGCTCTATGGTATATGAATGGTGGCTCTATGGTAGAATATGTAGGTGTGGCCTAATTTGAATAAATGAATAAATTTGTCCCAATTATTTTAATTAGTTCTATGGTAAATGAATGGTAGATCTATGGTAGATTTGCTATGGTGTTTGTATGGTAATCTATGGTAGATTTGCTATGGTGTTTGTATGGTGTACCATAGAGATTTTTTTTGTAAGGGCAGCCCAGCGAGTTATGTTACGCCGTACGCTTCTCGGTTGAAAAACTCAACCTAGGTCACTCTGGCATAGACAAGGGGGCGTCGTGTACCTGTATGTTTAGAGGGTTTATTTATTTATTAGGAGAAAGACAACTGCATAAGCAAAACACTTGTGGGCTTTATTAGTTTATATGAGTTAGTTCATGAGATTATATATTGTGTCTTTCTATGGTATCCACAAACATTCAAATAAAAAATGCAATACCTTGCATGTGTTTGGGGATGGGGAGGGTGAGGGGCGGAACTAAAATTGAAACATAACATATATTATAATATATCATATTATATGCCCTTTTACTGGTCAACGGTTTAAGAGATCGGGATAAACAATTAGTTTCATTGATCCTTTAGCTGGAACTCGTCTATCCCTAATGGTTGTCAATTTCCAAAAGGATAGCTCAGAGCTAGACAGCTAGTTAGTTAAATTCCAAGAATGGACGTGGGTGCGTGGCAGAATTGGACGTTCGTGGATATTACTAGCAATGGCATAGATGGCAAAGAAGTATCGTTTGTTCGGGGAAATTTTACAGAGACAAGAAGTACGATAGGAATAAATTTTTACAGATAAGATTGAGTTCTGATGAAGATAGAAATGTTTGAGCGAGCATTTTCATTCTTTGTGTGCCAGTTTAAGAGAATATTGTTGTAGAAATATCCCAAGAACACTATTTTTCTTCTATTGTTATTTTTAAAGGGCTATGCAGCCTAGCTATTACGAAGATCTGTGTAGCTTACCAGAATTGACCGAGAAATGAAGTGTGTTCCCCTGAATTTTGAGCCTGCATCGAGAATTGATTGTTCTCGGGTGTGGTTGTCCTTGGTTGCCCTTGGTTGTCCTTGGGAGGGGGAGGGTTAAATATCCTAGGGTTATATTAAGGGGGAAATTTCCGGGGGTTATTATCCTTGGGGGGGGGGGGGCTACTTTTCCGGGGGGGGTATTTTTCCGGGTGTTTGTCCAGGGGGTAATTGTCCTGATACGAGGACAAAGTCCACGATTCAAATTTATCTTTTAAATTAATATGTATAATGTAGATGGTACTTTTTAGAGGTAATGTAAAATACATGCCATATTTCGATGATAGCATCGAGATTAGAAATGATTCTCGACTTTTACCCATCATTTTAGAATTTCGAAGCAAATAAGAAAAATCACACAAGACAACATTTTTCAACCCAAATTTTATTCAAAAAGTTAGTTTTACACCTGTGAGGTCTTGAATGAAAAAGACAGTGAAAACATGGTACGTTTTTTAAAGATTGTACTGGTAATTTCTGCGGATATTTTAACAGAATCCAGCAAATTGTCAATAGAATCCATGAGAACTCACTGGCGTGAAGGCTGATTCAGTTTATGATGTAATCAAGTTAGAATATGTTGATTGATGTACTATTACCAGTCTCTTTTTTATGTAACAGATTATATCATGCTTTGTGTGGTTTTGAATGAATAAACTGAACTGAACTGAACTGATACAAACCATTAAAACACAGTAACCATTTCTGAATTGGAGACCATTAACAACAAAAAACAAAAACAAATTCACAAAATTATGGTTTTGGTACAGAAATTAGAGCCAAACCATTTGAAACGAAAAAGTAAACAGAATGTTTTTTTTGGTGTGACATGGGGGTGTCGATCCAGCAGAAACCAATTAGAATCAGTAGATATTAGAAAATTGAAGGACGGTGTCAGAATACCGAGTCAAAGCCAGCCTTTTACTTCTTCAAAAATATAAGATTATGTACGGAAACGTTTTAATAAAAAAACAAAAAGTCATAATAAAATGAGGGGGAAAAAATGAATTTCAATACATAACAAATGTGGTATACAACCTTCATAATTATTACTGAATCTATTCATAGCCATAGCCGTTCATAGTCATGATGACAACCTAGTAAGATTTTCCATTCATTCACCTACACTTGACCGTTACTAATATTTACTCTACATTTGTACAAAAATATCAATTGAAATAACATCTGTCTTCTTTGTGTTCGGCTTTCTTTCTTTTTTTAATTATCGTTTTATATTCATGATTTATTGGAAATCTACGCGTATTAAATTTAAACCTGATCGCTAATACTCTTCACATGTGTATAATTCAAGCATGTAAAGTATCCCTAGAAAAGTTGTGAATGATCTCATCTTAAAGCAACTACATTATACCGGTGTATTGGCTCAGTTAGTAGCGCGTCCGCCTCACAACCGGGAGGTCGTGGATTCGAACCCCGGCCGCGTCATACCAAAAGACGTTAAAAGACGGGAGTTGCTGCTACCTTATTTGGCGTTCAACAATAAGGGGATAGAGCAACGTCGATCTGGCGCTGCTCAGTGGCTGCCGGGCTCACGATCAATTGGGCAAAAAGAATTTCCATTTTCGGTTTAACTTAATAAAATTTGGAGTGAACTTTAAAAGATTATTATTATTATTATTATTATCCACAAAACGAGCATGGTAACAAGTGTTCCAATTCACGTGTGAAATGCATGCTAGTTACAAAGAGACATAATATCGGCATAATGTACACAGGAAAACTAAATACTCCTCTCGTAATGTTGCAATGCATACTTTTATCTTTTTATTGTCAATTCATATGTAATTTTTAATTGTTGGCAAGATCCCCTTTTCTCTCTCCCTTCTTTACCTCTTCTCTCTCTCTCTCTCTCTCTCTCTCTCTCTCTCTCTCCTCTCTCTCTCTCTCTCTCTTTCTTTCTGTCTCCCCTCTCTCTCTCTCTCTCTCTCTCTCTCCTTCCCTCTCTCTCTCTCTCTCATTCCTCTCTCTCTCTCTCTCTTTTTCTCTCTTTCTCCATCTCTCTATCTTTCTCTTTCTTCACTATTATATCTCGGTCTCTTATCCTCTCTTTCTCTTTTTCCCACTTTCCTTTCCCCTCTCCCCTCTCTTTTTTTTCTCTCTCTCTCTCTCTTTTCCCTTTTTAATCTCTTTTCTCTACATCTTTTCCTTCTCTTTCTCACTTTGAATTCATATTTTATTTATGTACATATTCCCTTTTCTCTCTTGTTCGTATGTTTGCTTTTATTTTACATTTGGTACAAAATTTAGGATAAACATGTGACATATACTTGTACTTATAATTATGTAAATGATACTGTTTTAAATTGTACACTCGTTTTTAAAATGTAATGTATATCCATGTGCAATTAACTGCGATGCATGATTCAATAAATACCATACCATATGTCACATTTAGTTGCATAACATAAAGGCTGCCTTTCGAGAGTACATTAAACGGTAATTATTATAAAAATACTGAATAAAAAGACTTTAAATTTCAGTCATGCATAGGTATTCTATAGGAGCATCCATGCAATAAATTAAGCGCGTTTCATCAAGATAAGAGCATGACAATAGAATATACCTGCATCTTAAATTAGTTTCCATTTCCATTACCTTCCGCAATTACAAGGTGGATAATGTCATATCGATACGTGACCTTTACCATTGCGTCAATTTTAGGTATGTGCGAACATCATAATGTCGTATTACGTAATCTGAACATGAATTCTATGAGATATACAAGATTGTATTGAAATTGCCCTTGGTTAGATTTCTCTAAAGTCCTTAGGATCGTGTAGAGCCCCCTTTCCCAGATAAACTTATTCTTATCCAAATCTAAGTGATGTGTGAGTACGTTTGAATGACACCCTGTAAGCAATCACGATCTTCAGGAGCAAAAGCATTTAAAATCATGATATAAACGCATTATGGGTAATAACCTAACATTTAAGTAAATATCAAAGTCTCGATGATACATATGGAGTTGATGAAATTGAATCTAGCCAGTCCAAACGGTAAGTTTCTGTGATGTTCAGTTGACCCCGGAACCAGTTGATCGTCTTCCGCCAAGCCTTGTTGAGCGCGTAGCCATGGAGCCGCGGCTCCCCTCCGTTTACGCCACAAACAGCTAGACGACGAATTGGGGGGGGGGGGGGGAATAAAGGGATCATTGTATGTTAATATAGTCATGAAAGTGAAAGGTTTCACGGCAAAGAGAGTGAGTGAGAAAAAAGAGAGGGAACAGCGAAAACGCGGTAAAAGGAAGTAATGATGATAGAAATAAATATGGGAAAGAAAGAGAAATTATGTTACATAATAAAGAGAAGTCGTGATGAGAGAAAAAAGAAGGAGAAAAGATGTGGGCATCAGGAGCACAAATCAAAAGGTAATCAGTATATGAATTAACAGGCAATCATATCTACAAGAAACTAATAAAATATGTTACATTTGTGATTCTCATCACACATGTGAAACATCTGAAAACATCTAACTCTGCCATTCTTAATTTGTCCTAAAACTATAGGTGACAGCACCTTCTATCCTCTGGAAAAAGGGCTGTATAATCGAGTTATTAATATTATAATGATTTTACTCGCATACAATTTTGTAAAATCTAACATCATTTTTTTTTCATAATTCACGACTGACTCACTCACGACTCAACTCATACACAATTTAATCCTCACTATATTATGTGCATGCCTTAGAAAATGAGTATTTTCATCAAGAGCAGGAAAACTCCAATATCGTGAGAGCCAGTCTACGTATATATTACTTTTGCTAGTTTATAGTTCTATCAATCACATTTGCGCTCGGGAGGTGATGACTTACGATAAGGAAGAGTTGGATCCATGTTGTTTTTTCGACATAGTGGAAGATATGGAGCGTCAATGTAATGACCAGCGCCCTCAAGATGAATTGTTTCTAAGAGATTACCCTTGCCAACTCTCTCTATCCTCTCCTTCATCTGTTATGAAAAATATACAAAGGTACTAGTAAAGAAATCAATACAGAGGTTTAGATTACATGACCGTCGATTAAGGTAGTGAGATAATTCTTACCTCCGCTTCCTCCGTAACTTAGGCCCCATTGCCATTACGTTCATTTTGCTGCAATTTTCAGCTTCGTGCGCAAACAACCATACCCCTTTATCTTTTCTGTCATATAACATTATGACCGGGCATCATGATAAAAATATTCATCAAATTGAGAAGCCTTACAAAAATGTACGCTAATTTCTTTATACCCTCTTATCATTAGTATACGTATTATCGTTTGAATTGTTATTAACAGTGATAAGTAATCTTCACCCAAAAAAATTAATCTAAAGATAAAATATTATACAGTATGCTTGCGGGTGCACCATGTGAGAGAGAGGGAGGATTGAGGAGTCCTGAAAAGGACTTTCGGTAATCTTTCTTGAGGGTTTGTTAGACCTGAAAAGGACTGTTGGTATAGTCTTGAAAAGGACTATTGGTTATCTTTCTTAGCTTATAGTTCAAAGCAGAACTATAGCGCTTGGAGAGAGAGGACGAGTGGCGGGAATGGCTCGACGTTTCGAACAGGTTGACTATCCGTCGTCGTCAGGAGGTAAAATATTGGCATCATCCTTGTCATCATAAGCATCGAAACTCGAAAGTTATTTTCATTATTAAAAGTACATGTATGTGTCAACTTGCCTAACAGTCAAATACTTACGGCGGTCATACGTTTGTATGACGGTATGTGTTGGTCGTCTCCATTCGTGATGAAAAGCATTGGGCAGGATATATCTTCAACCTTCCGTGCGAGAAAATATACAGAATCGAAAAATGTGCTTTTAATGAGACAAGCTTAAAATCTCAAACAGTTTGCAAACGTTGTACTCTGTTGTTAAAATATGGGGTAATTCACCCTAACTCAGAAGAATAAAACTTTGAATGATAGTCACCACAGGCAGTGTTTTCATTGTTTAATGGTTTAATTTCATTTTGATAGCAAAATTTCTTGATTTGACCTTTGATTAACGATACTTTATATATCATCATCTTTAATCAACGATCACACCTGAAGATTGTCCTTGTTTTAAAAAATACAAGAAGAAAAGACCTTTATCAATCAGATGATTGAGATCTGTAAAAGCAAGAACTATTCGCCGCATTAATTCATTAATTCCACTTTCCATAAGAGTTGTTAATGAAATCCAGTAAAGAGAAGAGTTCTGAACGAAGGCGAGAACGGTAGAGAATGTGAAAACAATGCAAAATACCTTGTTGACATGTTACACGAATATAATTTTTGTTTCAGTATACTTACTTTACTGTTGTATCCCTATTGTTATACCATACCAAGGAACAATTTTTAAACAAAATACCTACTCCAGATTAGAGCATATAAGAAAAGGGAGCTGGTATGTAAGAAGAGAGAGAGAAGAAGAAGAAGGAGAAGATAAGAAGAAGAAGAAGAAGAAAGAGTATTAACAAGTATATTCATCATGATCATGTATATTATATCAACTGTATACTAAAACAGGGCCCTATGATTGTCAATTACATGTTGGTTCCTATATGTTCATATGTTAAAGTAAGATTGTTAATGTAAATGTAAACATTTATCCTATATGGACACAATAAAGAAATGAAGATACTGTACGGGAAAATGCTCGGAAAGGCACCGATGATGTAAATACTCCTTACCGGTATTACGAAATCGCCTTGCAGATTATCAAAAGCGTTGAAATCACTCAGTTGCCATATATATCCGCCATCTGTATCCTCGACTACTTCCTCGTGATCAGAATTCCTGTTTTTACGCGGAAATACACGAGATAGAGGGAAAATCGTTATACGGAACTACAAGAACATCATACAATGGATGGAATGAATAATCGTATTTCGTCACTGTTATGGCCTGGCAGCAGCTTGCAGTGTCAGGACACTTCCTAGGCACGAAGAGACAACCCCAACTATATCTACCGATCCACTGACCTGTCCACTGTTGTTCTGTCAAGTATCTGAATGGTATAAGGGTATTTTGGGGGTCTTATACCCCCAAAAGTAAGCATCTGTCTCACTGTCTGTTAACTAAAACGTAATAATATATCGTTGTTTTAGTCTGGTAACTTAAAAGTAATGATATATCGCTGTTTTAGTTTGGTAACTTAAAGGTAACAATATATCGTTGTGGTAACTGAACGTTAAACGATCTATCAACTTTCGTAACTTTCGTGCTAAGAAACTTTATCAATGTTTCGCCTGATAAGATTGGTATTTGTCGTCTCTCATTGTGTTTTTTTTTTTACTGACAAGAACATATAGCGATTTGCTTGGTCTAAAAACTTACTTGTAAGGTTCTATCGTTGTTCCGTCAGGTAACCTGAGACCAATCTCGTAACCGAGGAAGTCCACACATCCGGTAGCCGCCACACATCGGATAGGGACCATATCTTTCAGCCTGGCAGCAGCTTGAAGCGCCAAGACACTTCCTAGGCAAGAAGAGACAATTCCAACTCGACTGCTATCAAGACGAGGATGGTTTGCGATAAACTCGAAGATGTCCTGGAAGAAAATATTAAAATATAGCTTATTTAAGAACCGAACGAGTATACTGTATAAACACTATTAATTCCATAACGAGGTGAAACTTCGGTGCCTGTTTTTAAAGATATTAGAAAGGCATAATTGTCTATTGAAGATTTGATGAGAAACAGAGCTAAATTTAGTTTATTTTACCAGCAATTGCGGATGGAGACATACTTTGAGACTTTATTTCGCCATTAATGTGCAGTAGTGTAGCAACGGGAAAGCCACTGATGGAGTGGGGTGGGGCATTGATCAATTATTATTGTCATCGAGTAAAATTATACAAAACATCAAAACATATTTATTACTATTGAAATATATTTGAGACTTTTCAATAGTAAGTATACCATTTATACTATCTTCGCGGTCAATAATGTCATTCGAAACCGATTATAATTGTTTTGCACTTTAGTCAACACTATATTCAGTTATTATTATGGAATAGAAACTATATAAGCCGAAATTATCTTTGTACTTTCCTGGTTGTGCGATGATGAAATTATTCGGAGCAGAATCGAAAGTATCATGACTATTAAAGGCAGGCTTGATGTATCAAGTATTATAATCTTGCTATATCTTACTGATATATCAAGTGGCAAACTTATTGAAGAGATGAAACTAAAAAAGACTTATTGATTCTCTATTTCCATTTGTTCAATGCTCTTTATTTCAGATTATAAATTAATAGCTAATTGATCACAAAAGAATAGTACTATCACGCTTTAAGTGCTGTCTATTAATCATGAAGTCAACTCTCTTGTTATGTTTTTGATTGAATAATCATTGACCACTAAATCTAATTATACATTAACACATTTACCCTTATGCTTTCATCATTTGCAAAAACCAATTTTGATATCAAGCTTTAGTCTTCATTTTATTATGAACCCATTTTATGCTGAAAGCCCTTTCGAACCAGCACAAAACTGAAAATGTACCAAAAATGTCATGACATATTATGGTAGGAAAGAAATGTGGACTATGCATACAATTAACAAATTGGAAAATCACGTACCAGGAATATCTTCAGATCAAAGTACACTGCAAAAACAGTGGTGTTAAATTCAACACCATAGGTGTTAATATTAACACCATTCCGGTATCTATATCGGAAAACACCAGTTGGTGTTATTTAACACCAAGGTCTGGATTTGAATGATTCAATTCTACTCTTGGTGTTGCAATTCAATTCTATTTTTGGTGTTAATATAAAATCCTACACCATTTTCTGGTGTAACAATGAATCTGATTTCTGGTGTTATTTAACACCACCGCCTGGAATGAAATAATTTTAATTCTACTCTTGGTGTTGCACTTCAATTCTATTGTTGGTGTTATTTTACACCAATTCTAGAATTAAATAGTATAATTCTGCTCTTGGTGTTGCAATCCAATTCTATTTATGGTGTTAATATAAAATCCAGCACCATTCTTCGGTGTTGCAATAAATCCTATTTTTGGTGTTATATAACACTAAAGGTCTACTACTTTTCTACTCTTGGTATTGCAATTCAATGCTAGTCTCAGTGTTTAAAAAACTCAACACACCATTCTTTCAACAACAACAATTCATTCCAGCTCACTCCATCTTAACACATGCACAGAAAATATTCAAATACACACAAGAAGTGAAAAGAAACAATTTTTTTCGTAAACAAAAACACATGGTGCTTGTTTAATCAATAAATTAAACAACTTGTTTTCATTCATGTTGAAATCAATGATGCTTAGCGTTTTTATCTTGTATGGTTCAACATTAAATCCTTTTGTCATGTATTCAAAATCTGTGACTCATTTGTCTGAATACAACAAAACACACTTTTTTAAATCATTCAAAATCTGTTATTATGAATCCACCCTTATAAGTAAAAAAAAAAGGATGAAACAAGTAACTAAAAATCATTCAAAATCTGTTATTATGAATCCACCCTTATAAGTAAAAAAAAAAAAGGATGAAACAAGTAACTAAAAATTTTCCAATATAAAAACTTTAAACAATGTCATAATTCCTTTCAAGGAATGAAAAATCAAAGTCGTTTCTAATAAATAGAAACTAAACAGGATGCAAAATGCATGTATAAATGAAGACAAAACAAAAAAAACAACAAACATTATGCTTCTACATCAGAGTGAATTATGTAGCTAATAAGAATTTTGACACATTTCACCTTGAATCCTAGTACATGCATGCTGAAGGAAAATATCACAGAATCTTTTTCATATGAAATATACAGAGCATGGGTGTCGATCCGTAACTGATACCTATTCATCAGGGGGGGATGATCTATTCATTCATCCCCCCCTGATGAATAGGTATTACGTAAGTATCGACACCCATGATACAGAGTGCCCCCCCCCCCCAAAAAAAAAAACCTTGGAAACTGCTAGTATAATCTGCAGGCAGACTCTCGGCTTCGGTTTTTCGCAAGTTTCGTAGTGCATATTTCAGAGTCTGCAGTCAGAGACTACTTTCACTCATATCATGATCCCTTAAAGGGAGCATAACTGTATGTGTATATGTAGTCTCTAAATGCAGACTCTACATCGTGCACTATGCAAATTGCAAAACCGAAGCCAATGGTCTGTGCCCGCAGACTAATTATAGTATGACTTTAATTTCTTATGCTAGAACAATAGCAACACTAACAAATCTCATCCAGCAGTTTTGTTGAACAAGATTTTTTTACCACAGGCCTGCAACCATTGAGATTCAGGATGATTTAATTATTTCAGGGGATTTTTATCTCCTAGCTTCACTGCTTGTAAAGGGTTAAACAAATGTTTCAAAAACATTGAAAAAACACTATAAATTCTACATTCATTCTAATATAGGTGAACATTCTTTTACAGCTTTCTGTTTACAAACATATTCCATTTTACATCGTGCACTATGCAAATTGCAAAACCGAAGCCAATGGTCTGTGCTCGCAGACTAATTATAGTAAGGCTTTTTAATGTCTTATGCTAGGAAGCAGCCTTCAAGAACAATAGCAAAACTAACAAATCTTATCCAGCAGTTTTGTTTAACAAGATTTTTTTTTACCACAGGCCTGCAACCATTGAGATTCAGGATGATTTAATTATTTCAGGGGATTTTTATCTCCTTCACTGCTTGTAAAGGGTTAAACAAATGTTTCAAAAACATTAAAAAAACACTATAAATTCCACATTCATTCTAATATAGGTGAACATTCTTTTACAGCTTTCTGTTTACAAACATGTATTTCCCATTTTACTCCTGGGAGAAAAAATCAAAAAGTAAAATTATGCATTTCTATATCAACTAATTCGCTGCTCGTTTTTCCAACAGGATATAAACAACAACAACAAAAATCAGTCCATGCACTTCTAGTTCACTGGCTTTCATGCACAAACATCATAGAATTGTTTTTCTTGTAAGAAAAAAAAAGAAAATATACAACAGCTATTTGACTTCAATTTGGTTTCGAATTAACCAATTTAAAGATGTTAACAATTAAGAGTCCAAAATATTATTGATCAAAATTATTTTTAAAACCAATTGATACCACTAAGCAAAACCAGACATTAGCTTGAAAGCTTTAAATTACTTAAAAAGTACATGCCTTGGTGCTACATACTTCCTCGAGTCTGTCTTCGACAAAGTTGTCATCAAATCTAGTGGTTTGTAGTCAACAAGTTCCTTTTGATTCTTCACTACATGACAACGTGGAAAACTAAATTCTACTGCATAGGCATGATAGTGTGAATTGTAATACACTGTATCTAATTGGACAAGTACAAAAAATACAGTGCTATTGTGTACAATGATATGCTCTATTTGACCAAACAGAGGAAGCTCGCTAACATCATGGCAGACCAGAAGTGACAACTGATAATGTGTTCCATGTACTTTAACCCAGTTGGCATCAAATAATTCAGTAGAAAGATCCTCTACTTGGATTTGCTCTTGCACAATCTGTCCAATATTTTCATCTAAATCTGACAAAAGTAGTGAACTACCTGGCCCAACCTCCAGATATTCCAAAGGATGGTTTGACTGAAGATGGAACGTTAGTGCTGTCTGATGTTTTTTGGCAAGTGATTTACAAATGTTTTTGTAATTACGCACAGATTCTGCAACACGGCCAAAATAGTGATGTTTCGCTTCGTACCTCATACACCATACATGTATGAGTGGCCCAACTTCTCTCAAACACGTTGGATAATGCACCATAAAGTGGTGTTTTGGCAACAACCTTCTGTCAGGAAAGGTTTTCTGGAAATGTGTGTGATGTTCTTCAGTAAGAATAGACAATTGGGCTATCAAGCCTGCTGTCAATTGAGGAGCAAAAATAATGTCCATACAATCTAGTAATCTAAGTAGCAATTCCCAGTAGACATTTCCTTCTTCAATGTCTTGAGCAATTATGAATGGCAGATTTCGAATCAAGCACCATGCTTGCATAGCCTTCTGTCCAACATCATTCCTAGCTGACCTAAGTTTAATAAAGGATGGTTTGTTCTTGTTATCTGTACGGTTTAAGCAATGGCTGGCGACTCTCTGATTCAGTTCATCTTGGGACAAGAGGGGCGGTTGCCTTTCATATATGAAATACTCTAGAACAAGTTTCAGCTCATACTGAACTATGCCTTCCAAAAGATCATGCATTATATCTAGTGAAAAGTTTGCCAAGACATGAAAGTAAATACAATCATTCAATACAGTCTTTTGTTTCACTCCAAACACATGTGACTGGGTAGTTTGAGCTTCAGCTTCTTCTAAATGTTGCTCATAAGTCTGCCTGGTGCGCATATCCATTGAAACCTCTTTGAATTTGTTCTGTGCCTCTTCCTTACTTGTAACACATAATCGACAGTAATAATGAGCAGAAAAGCTCTCTACAAATCCCAGTAGGGAATTAGCACCAAGATTATCAGCACTTATTTGAGTAATGGTCCCCTTCTTCACAATTCCATTAGGGAGAGCAATGCCAACTGTTGACAGGATATTAATGTCTTTTACAATGTGCTTGAGAATAGCATTAAATCCATATTTCTTGGCATCTTCAGCATACCATAGAGCTATAAGATTGATATTGGAAAGATTGGAATTATACTTTGGTGGCAGATTTTTCAAAATGAAATATAAAGCACCTATCTTGTGAATTTTTGTTTTTGAACCAATGGGGTTCACAGTCTCGAAATCATCATAAAAACAGTGAATTTGGAGGGCATTCTCATCTTCATGGAAAAGAGGGGTTTTCTCAAATTGTGAACCATCACAATAATCTCTCATTACACCATCTGTGCTCTTATGGTCATGAGTAGCAAAATGCAATATATCTTTATTGCTTAAAAGCTGCTTCAAAGAATCTAAAATGGGAACGTAAACAAATGTATCTTCAATAGCAATCTGTTCATACTGCTTAGTTCTTTTATTGAGACGACTATCATATCGGATGCCTAACTTGATTTCTTGTGGTTCAACAAGTCCAATTGATTCACAATACTTTGTCCGCTTATATTCTGAATTCAAATTTTCAAAGGGCTTTTCAAGCATAGCAAAATGTGTTTGAATCTCCTTATAAGCCTCGGATTCTATAGGCAGCTTATGTTTTAAGAAAGCAGCTGTAACGGCTGCCGATGCACTTTTTACTACATCACCTACAATCGCACTGGTTGTTTCTACTACATCATTTACAACTTTTCCAGAGTTTGCACTATTTGCTGAAAATTTTGAAATTACATTTACACACTGCCTGTTCAAGGTATCTACAGATAAAATGTCATCTTCATATACATCCTGATCTTCAACAATCTCATCATTATTAATATTGTATTCTTGAAGACTTTCAAGACTTTCTTCAGGAAAGTCACTCACTTTATCATTTTCATTAGACTGCTCTTTATTATCTGGAAAATCGGTTTTAAGGTGAGTCTGCAAATGTCCCCGAAATCCTCGAAAAGTATGAAATGTTCTCGCACAAGCTCCCTGCCCACAGGTCAATACTTCTTTACCATCTTCAATAACTCCATGTTTCAATCTCAAATGTTGAACCAATTTGGGTATTGCAAACT